TTTTGCACTTATTTATTATGCAGGTCACCTGTACCATTTCTAGACTCAACGTTTGATCTAAATCTAAAGACGCCACTGTGTTGCTTTCTGCGTAACTCGTTCTCGCACATATTGACAATTATTATTAACAATTTTTTGCTTCATTATCCACGAGGTCTTGACACAACAACTGACTGACTTCGTCTTTGGTTTGTTTTGTTTAAGACGTTTGCCGAAAGACTGACGATCACTGGATGATCGATTCAAATATTCTGCTGCTGTTTCGTCATCTTCACACAATGCTAGATGTTAATTCATCTCCATCTGTCTTCTCAACAACATCTTTGATTTTTCCCAAAATAAAAGTCAAAGGAGGGGGTTAACTTCATCAGAAAACAGCCCTCTAAGTTTTTTGCTTATTTTGGCTTGACTGTCGTAGGAAAGACGTCTGGACACATGTTCCAATTGTTCTTATGGAAAATAAGCTCAAAATACGTTTTAACGTTGATTATTTTGAGATTCCATCAGAGAATATCGTTGTTAGAAAAAATAATGTTTTTGAAAAATTCAGTGTAGGTTTCACACAAGTCTTTGTATGGAAAAATAGACAGCGAAAAACTGAATAAAGTACTCTGTGAACAATCCTTATACACCATTTCAATAAGAAGAAATTATTTTTACAAGAGGCAACTTGATCTAAAAGTGGATATGACAGATGTTTTGAGTACTTTTTTTCTCCATATGCAAACGAGGATCCAACTTGTATCTGGTATAGAAAAATAGTCAGTGGAAAACTGAATAAAATGGTAATGAACCATAGTTACGTACTATATTACTAAGAAGAAATAGTTTATTTTCAAGCATCTCCTATCCAGTGACCAGGCTCGAGTGATCATATTTTCCCATTTTCTTCCAAAACTAAGAGAGGATCCAACCAGTCTTTAGTACAGAAAATAGCTCTTGAAAAGCTCTACAGTATTTTGGGTAAACAAACGCTAATATCATTGGCTCAATCTATTATAATTCAAATACGAGAAAAATCAAGGAAATATACGCACATTTTGCGGTTTTTACCATCAAATTTTAATTCTTTCTCAAAACCAACATCATTTTTGGGATCATTGTGAAAAACTGCACTGAACAATCTTTGTTTCGGAACTCTGATTTTTCAGCAAAAATCTCGGTCTAAAAATTTGAAGAAAATCAAAGTTGTCTAAAAATCGTAATAACCGTGGATAATGAACTTGGAATCGAAATCTATGACAGTAAACCAGTAGTCTTTCTTATCAAATCAAAGAGCATCACAAAAACAATCTCATCTTTGTAAAATAAAAATTCATTTGGTCTAGATGGAATTTCTAACAAAATAATCAAGTTATTACCACAGTCTCATTATTCATTCATCTACTCTTCCTTTAATCATTTTTCTTCGCATTTGTGTGTTCCCCCTCACTGGCAAACTGCCAGAATGATTTTATTATCAATAACCAAAACAAATATTGTAAATGCGAGTGACACACGTCCTATTTCTCTTCTGCCGTGCTTTTCTAAATTGTATGAAAAGATTTTTCTCGTTCATTTCCGTTAGTGGGTGTATGATACCGGCATTCTTCCCGATGAACAGACCGGATTTTGTCCTGGTCACAGTATGGCTGTCTGTTTAGTCTCAATTATCGATCAAACTGGTCAGAGTTTATCTTTAAATACGGTGGCGGAAGCATTGTTTGTCGATTTTAAAGCAGCCTTTGACCAGAGAACTCTGGCTCAAACTGCATCGTTTGGGTTGCCCTGTATATCTGTTAGCTTGGTTAAGGAAATATTTGTCTGGACGGTTAGCATATATTGAAATAAAGGAAACGAAATCCGGTATATTTCTTCTGTTCACAGGTGTGCCGCAAGGTTCATGTTTTGGCCCGATTATTTTTATTGTGTATCATCATGATCTGTTAAGCTGTTGACATTATTGGCTAGAACTATATATTTCCGGTAAATCTAAGTGGCTTTTCAGTCTTATTGCATTCATATTTCTGCACAAGTTTCATTTTTCTACCTTACAAATACAGAAAAGAACATGGAAACTGGCAAACTATTTTATGATTCCTCTTATGCAGATTATCTGTTTTCATTTTTCGATGAAAAATTTTTTAAAGTTTAGACGCGTTTGAAAACATCAAAGTGTTTGCGGGTGTCGCGGAATGGAAACACTGCGTCAAATTTCTATGCTAACAGAGCATTATACAGCTATTTGACAGAACGTATCTAGTTTTATTGCACCTGGTAAAGTTTTCTACTTGGTATACATAATAATAATTGGCCCGCTATACTCGATGAAAAAGTGTTTACGAAAAAGACACCTTCTATTGCGCCCCAAGTGTCTATTGTACTTCCCAATGTCCCACTACAAGTCGAGTGAGACGAATTCGTGCGAGCAATTAAAGACAAGTGTAAGGACGTTGCTCAAATAATTCGTTTGAAGAATTGAAATCAAGACGACGTTCGATCGGTGAAAATTGAATTTAAGTTGGAAAAGACTCGTGATGCTGTGTTACAAGACAAAGAAATATCAGTGGAATATGTAAAGTACAAAGTTGTCGAATATCTCGCTCAAGCGTGTGTTCTTATCTGTAGTCAGTGCCGTGGAACTGGTCATTCTCGCAAAAACTGCCCTCAAACAGATCAAGTCACTTGCAAGGTGTGTACAGTGAATTTTGCCAATTTGAAGGATCATGATTGCTCGAAGGTACCGAAATTATTGAATTAATTGAAATTACTGTTCAAGTTTACGAGGGCAACACCACTAGTGGCCATAAGCCGCTCCTTTCCACCTTGGTATGTAAAGGCAAGAAAACAAGAATCGCCTGCCGAACAACGTGGCCAGTGTTCTCTCTATTCCTCTAGTAAAAGGAGCAGGAATATTGCTTATTGCATCATTCTTATTCGCACATGAGTCACATGTTGTTTATATATTGCTCGCACAAATGAGAAATGAAAAAAACAGAATGATATTCGGTTATTGTGGAAAAAACCAAGTAAAAGTAGCTGGTTTTTTCCACGGAAAATGTTATGTCAAATTTTGATTTGTGTAGGAGATCATGAATTGAAGATGATGAAAAGAAATAATATCCTTCAGCTATATTGTAGAAAAAAACACACTGCTAATTATAGTTTACCCGACAGAATAATTGAAAGGGTACCTATCTAGACTGCACATGCTCTGTATACATCGACAAAATAGAAGAAATTTAACGAGTATGATCCTCTAATAGACACACGATGAAAAAGCTCTCAGCTCAATCTTCACGAGATTAAAATAAGAAGTAAGTTTACAACTGAGTCACTTTGGGTAGAAAATCAACATCCAAATAATTGAGTCACTAATAATACAATACATATCCAAATAAGTTTCCAAAACATTAGTGTTCATCACTCAGCTTGTTTGAAAATAAGTTTTCCAGAAACTGTCGATATTCTGTGCTTTCAAAATCTGCTCACGAGGGAACATTCAACGTATCCGACGCCGTTCGAGCCTATATTTTGCCCGTAAATAGGTATGGAGAAGGTATGATAAACCCCAAAAGGACTCGATCAGTGACCTATTCTTTCTTGAGTTATGACCGTTTCACTGCATTTTCGGCCTGTTGCGCGGTATTTTCAAACAAATTGAAATACGGTACGACTTAAAATTCTGTTCATGAAGAAGTCTTGTAAGTCCTAGCATGCATCAAAAATCAGCCAAAACGAATATGTTCCTCTCCAATTATTACAATTTCAGAAAACATCGATCTTTTGAATATTCTGTAAAATATAGGTGTTTCGTGAAATTGTAATAACTGGAGAGAAATACATTCGTTTTGGCTGAAATTTTTGATGCATGCTAGGACTTACGAGTTCTCTTCATGAACAGAATTTTAAGTCAAAATACCGTATTTCAATTTGTTCGAAAATACGCGCAATAGGCCGGAAATGCAAAATGTTAATTTATACTTTCTGCAAATGCAAACCTTGTCAAATAACATTCTGTTCTATTGCTGTTTTTCAGAGCTCAATGTTTTCAAGTTTAAGAAATCCGTGCTTACCCTAACCTAGATTCGTAATATAAACATTTCATAAAGTATTGAAAAAGCTTGACGGGCCTGGTCAGGCAGGGCCGATCGGGTCGAATAAATTCAGAGTTCTGTCCGGGCAGGCTGAATAATCAATTCATACGGGCCGATCGGGATACGTCACAGTAAATACCCAGCCGGTCGAGACGTGCTGAAAATATGGTCCGTTGTCAGACCTGCTTACTACTGTATGTATTAGTTGGTAGAAGATACATTCTTGCCATCGTGGTACTATGAAATAATACAGTAGCACTATTGTACTGCATCAACAACACCTGTATGATTTTAAGGACGTGTGTGATCGAATCGACGGATATGTATCCTATCCGAGTACTTTAAATTTTTTCAACTTTGCACGTTGAAAAATCATCAAGATTTTCACCAAAACATGAAAATCAGTACCTGGACGCCGCAGCGAACGAGCCTTTATCCATGGATCATCGTCACGATCTACATTTTCTGTCATGTCAGTGTAAAATTCTTTTACTGCTTTATAACAGGACGGTGGATGACTCAAATGTGATGAATTAATAACTCACATGTGAGGTGAATCAATTCTTTTGCCTCTTTAAATATTTTTTTCTTATATTTATGCAAGATTTCAAAAAATAATAGACTAAGCTGTGGACAATTTTTTTCGTTTTTTTTCGCCTCATAGTTGTAAAATTATGCATAAAAATATAAGAAAAATAAATGTTTAAAGAGACAAAAGAAAACAAAAACAACTTTGACATAGCATTTTATTTTCTCTTATTACTTAAACATATAAAGTGAGAGAAAAGAAAGAAAAAGAATCGATTTCTACCTCACATGTGAGTTATTAATTTCTTTTGTTGTTAAATTAAATTATTTATTAATTCATCATATTCGAGTAATCCACCGTCCTGTTATAAAGCAGTAAAAGAACTTTAGACTGACATGACAGAAAATGTGGATCGTGACGATGATCCATGGATAGAGGCTCTTTCGCAGCGGCGTCCAGGTACGAACGACCTAGTAATTAGTTACAAACAATCAACAAGTAAGCCACGAGATTTAGAAGAAATGAAAGGTGAAAAATGGACAACAGATAAACAACAAATCAATGACTACTTTCAAAATTCAATGCAATGTACAAAATGTCAACGTGGTCTAATGGATGAACAAATTCGTGTTGAAAAAGCAACCAAAAATTGGCTGGCAATGACAACGGTGACAGTTGATGTTGAAATTAATTGTCAAGTCTGTCACAGTTATACGTTATGGAATTGTTGTTATTGGTAGATGGTCTGGAACATTTCATACAAGCCATACATTTTAAATCGACATTTTTCAAAATTTCGATTTTCTACCGTTCGAAAAACCCTTTACTTTCATCAGAAAATCGAATTTTCCGTAAGTGCAGGAATGCAAAAGTAAGCGAAGCATTTTTTTCTCTTTGACTTTTTTGTATCTTCAGCTCTCTGTATTCATTTAGTAATTTTTTCTACAAATGATTTTGGTTTTATTTCTTGTTCAAAATATTGAACAACTTTTTCGCTAATCGATCGTTCTTCATCTTCAAATCTTTTGTGTAGATTCGAATCTATGTCATTTGGAGCATTAGTAAGTTCTTCTTGTTCTTTTAGCATAATGTCAAGTTTCGAACAAAAACTTCTTCCATTAGCATTTT